TACTGACCAGTCTCCTTCCTGCATAGAAATGTAAAAATTCTTAACCAAATTTCATCAAATCAAATCCAACAATATTTAAAAAAAGAATAATACATCATGACTATGTGGGATTTATCCTAGGAATACCAGGATAGTTTACCATTCAAAAATCAATCAATATAATTCATCATATTAATAGATTAAGGAAAGGAAAACCATATGATTATTTTGATAATGAAGACAAAACCCAGCATCCATTCCTGTTGGAAACTCTTGGTAAACTAGCAATAGAAGGGAACCTTCTCTACCTGATTAAGGATTATTATGAAAAACTGACACTCAACATCATATTTAATGGTGAAAGACTGAGTGCTTTCCTCCTGAGATTAGGAACCAGGTAGGGATGTCTGCTCATGATCACTGCTATTCAACATTGTGCTGGAGGTTCTAGCCAGTTCATTAAGGAAGAAAAAGAAATAAAAGACATCCATATTAGAAAGGAGGAAGTGAAACTGGCAGTATTCACAGGTGATATAATTATCTATGTAGAAAATCCTACGGAGTCTGTAAAGACACTATTAGAACTAATAAGCTGAGCTTAGCAAGGTTGTAGGATACAAGATCGATATACAAAAATCACTTGTGTTCCTAGCAATATACAGTTGGAAACAGAAAAAAAATAATAGCTTCAAAAAATATGAAATAGGATACAGTTGATAGAGATGTAAAACGTTTGCATTGAAAACTCTAAAATATCACTGAGAGAAATTTTTAAAATCCTAAATAAATGGAGAAATATACTGTGTTCATGGATCAGAGAAGTCAATATTAAGATGCCGTGTTGCCTGAAAATGTTGTGTAGATTCCAATCCCAATCAAAATCTCAGCAGGCTTTTTTTCCTTCAGATAATGTCAAACATTTCTAAAGTTTAGAAATAAATCATTCTAACTTATTCTAAAGTTTATAAGGAAAGTAAAAAAGACCTATAGTCAAAATAACTCACAAAAAGAAGAAAAAAGTTGGAGGAATTACACTGTCTGATGTCATGACTTACTACTGTACAGTTACTCCAATCAAGGTAATGTGTGTGGTGTTGATAGAGAGATGGACATATATATCAATGAAAAACAGTACAGAAATAGACCTGCACATGTATGTTCAATTGATTTTTGACCAAGACATTTTTCGGGGAAGAGTTATCTTTCCAAAAATGATACTGGAGCAATTGGGTGCAAATAAATGAACCTCAACTCTTACCTCCTACCATATACAAAAATAACTCGAAATTGGTCAAGACCCAAATGTAAAAGCTGGAACTATAAAACTTCTGAAAGAAAACATAGGAGAAAAATCTTAGAGACTTTGATTTTGGTAAAATTTTCTTAAATACAACACAATGAGCACAAACTATAAAAGAAAAAAATTAGTTGGGCTTCATCAAAATTAAAAACTTTTGCTTTTCAAAATACACTGTTAAGAAGAAAATGAAAACGCAAACTACAGACTTGGAGAAAATATTGTAAAACATATATCCAACAAGGGACTTGTATCTAGAATAATAATAACTGAAAAAAACCCAAACTCATACAACTCAATAGTAAGACATACAACCCAATTGAAAACTGGGCAAAAGATTTGAACAGATACTTCGCCAAAGAAGATATATGGTTGGCAAATAAACACATTGACTGATACTCATCATTGTTAGCCTTTGGTGAAATGCAAATTAAAACCACAATGAGAGCACAATACACTCTCTCAAATGCTAAGCTTAAAAGGTTTTATTAATTAAAAACCAAGTTTTGCCTAGGATGTAGAAGAACTGGAACTCATATGCTGCTAGTGGGAATGTAAAAAGGTACCAGTTTGGAAGATGGTTTGGCAATTTCTTGAAAAGTTAAACACATACATACGGTACAATCCAGCTATTCCACTTCTAGGTGAAATGAAAGTATGTGTCCACGTTTGCATACTCATAGCCTTATTTGTAGTAGTGCAAAGTGGGAAATGACCTTTTTCATAAGGAAGTGTTTATTTTTCTCTTCCTCTTCAAGCATTTTTACGTGTATTTCCACTAAAGCTCTCATCTCACTATAGTGCATTTAATATCTGATCTGTCTTTTCTTCTGCCACTGTGGAGGATAACTGCTTTAGTCCTACCCTTCTCAGTGCAGCAGAATGGGAGTCAGGAGAGCTGAATTCTAGTCCTAGCTCTCGACACTGAGCTGACTGATTGTCTTCTTGGAACTTCAACTTTCTTAGCTGCTGATTGAAGGGATTACATTATATGTATTCATTCATGAATATTTCTGAGCACCTGCTGTTGGCCAGGCACTCTTTTAGGTATTGGCAACACAATGAAGAAAATAGGCTGTGGTCTCAGCCCTCGTGGAACCAGTATTTATTAACCTATTTTGTGCTGGATGCTGTCCTGGGTTTTGGGAAGACAGGCCATGGTGTCTTAATCTCAAGGAATTTATGAATTAGTAGGGGAGAGAGACCAAAATAAGTAAACAGAGAAAACTATAATTGTAAAATTGTTATGAAGGAAACAGTATGAGGGGAGACCCCTATTTTAGCAGGGCTGTCAGGGGAGGCCTCTTTGTGGAGGTGACACTTGAGCTGAGATCTAAAGGAAGAAAGAGAAAAGGGGCTCTTGTTTGTCATTGTCTCTTCTCTCAGAAGTTTAGATTGAACTTAACACAATGATTGGTTTCGTCAATTGTAGACATCTCTAAATGAGAGTAGCTTCATGGAGCCATCTTTACCTCACGCCTCTCTTCAGGGGGTTTCATTGTCCAGTTTAGGAAAAACAAATGGCAATAAATTAAACGGATTTAGTTCTCCTTCTGATGTGTAATTAATACTTTTTTGACCCATAATTCATAAGTGAGTGAGAAACAAAGGATAAAATGAATGTGCTCTGGTAAGCCTAAACCAGAGGTTTCAAATGGGGGTTTGGCAGGCAAATCTGTACTCCAGAGAGGTTTCCTTTGGCCTACAGTGTGTTGTTTTTTTTTTTTAAGTTTAAAATTTTTTTTTTTTTTTGTGAGGAAGATCAGCCCTGAGCTAACATCCATGCCAATCCTCCTCTTTTTGCTGAGGAAGACCGGCCCTGAGCTAACATCTATTGCCACTCCTCCTCCTTTTTCTCCCCAAAGCCCCAGTAGATAGTTGTATGTCATAGTTGCACGTCCTGCTAGTTGCTGTATGTGGGATGCCACCTCAGCATGGCCGGACAAGTGGTGCGTGCCCGGGATCCGAACCCGGGCCGCCAGTAGTGGAGCACACGCACTTAACTGCTAAGCCACAGGGCCGGCCCTGGCCTACAGTGTTTTAAAAGTCAGAAAATTTCACCTGCACCACCAGATTTGCAGCGTTTCCATTTAAATCTTTAGGTGACCAATTAGAACTGAACGGCAGCAGCTCAGATCTCACAGCCCCCTCCTGTTTGACCTGCCGCACTCACTTATGTCATTTGTGAGGCCCCGTGGGAATTTGTTTGTCTAAGCATCATCTCAGGAGGTTTTTGTTTTGTGTGTAAACATTTATGCTTGGGACCAGCCTGCTGCGAGCCTGATCTACTAGTCCTGGGCTGGGTGATTCTAATGTGCAGCAGGTGAGAACCACACTCGTAAGACCATAGCCATGGCTGTGGACATACCTTGTTGCGAGATTCACATGGGAGCATGCGTGTCAAGAGTGAGGACTTGTCTTGGTAACTTCTTATGTACCCTATCCCTGGAATACCTGGCACTAGGTACTTTAAATGCTTGTAAGATAAATGAATGAATGATGTTTTAATTTTGGTATATATTTGACCTCTAAAAGGCAATGTATTTAAGAAAACATATTTCCTAATTCAACTGTGTGGGTTTTTTTTTTTTTTTAAGTTTTCTTTAATAGATAACACATTCAGGTGGTTTTAAGATCAAAATATAAAAAGGAATAGAGGTAAAAGCCTCCTTCCTACTTATGTTCTCTATCTGACCGAGCCACCCTGCCTCCTCCCGTGAAAGTAGAAGCAAATTCAAACATATATTCTTGTTTTTTCCCCTTTTTACTCAAAAAGTAGCTTACTAAAAATAATGGTCTGCCTTATGCCTTCTTTACCCTTGACATGTCTTGAAGATCTTATCGTGTTAGTAGAGAGCTTCCTCCTTCTCCTTTTTTTTTGGTTGTTTTACAGTTGAAAAGTATGTTTCATCGTTTGAGCATGTTATAATTTATTTAACAAGTAACCCCACTGAAGGACATTTGGGTTTTTCTAAGCATTTGCTATTGCAGACAGTTCTACAGGTAGTACCCTTGTATGCATGGCCTTTCTCACACACACACACACACACACACACACACACAAAGTGTGCAAAGTATATCTCTATGATAAATTCTCCAAGTGCAATTGTTAGGTCAAAGGGTATAGGCATATGTAATTTTGATATATATTATCAAATTGCCTTCTGTAGGGGTTGTAGCATCAGATATCATTAATTAAAACGAATACTAGTATTTGGAATACTGTTTTAAAAAGAATATTTACTCTGTTTTTGTTTTGTTTTCTTTGCTGAGTTAGAGTAGTCATATTGCAGGTTATCTGAATTTTGGTAAGAGTAATAAGATTGTTCTAGATCATTGGTTTCTGCTACTGGCCAAAGACCCTCAAAAGGTTCTCAGATTTATATGCTAAACGAACATCAGCTATGTAGAAAATAACGGCTCACACATGTATACTATATATTTCAAATGTATGTAGATGCTAATGTATTTAATAAAATGCCAATTCATTTAATAGTGTTACTAAATTCTTAGTTCAGCTAATAGCAGCTCCACATCTGATCAATGGTTCCATTGTTTTAGATGACCCTTGGATTTTGATGGCATGTTAGCTTCATTTTGTGTCCTGTCAGTTTTTTCAAAGTAGCTTAGTCTGGAGGTATAGGGGAACAGAACCAAAAGACTATGCGTATACTATGAGTGTCTATTTGAATATTTTACAATAAAAATAACCTTTCTCTTACAGATGTCCCTTTAAGGACCAGCCTGCCACCACCATTCAGAAATTATAAATATGGTAACCAATAATTTTCTTATTCTTTTCAAACATATATTAATATAATTTCACATTAGTTTTATGTTGATATGAATTTAAATTTGGTTTTCAAAAATGAGTTTACTATCTGTAAATAAAAACCAGTATGGAAGTTTATGTAGAAATATAGGAATTCTAGCATATCGTTAAAGTAAATTGTAATAGTGTAGGGAGGTAGCCTATTTGTGAGGAAAAGCATGTTTGGCAAATTGTGTCTAAAGTGAATTTCTGTGCCAGGTAATCAAAAAAGGAGAAATGATTAAAGACTAGGAATTGAAAGAAGAGATTTAACATTTTAAATGCCAGTAACTTGAGCATGTTATATATAGTAATTTTATATATTGCAATTGTTGATTTTAAAATGTACTAATAAGGCAAGAAGCTAGGTTTCAATATCTGTTATAAAGATGGTACAGTTATTAACCTTCAGCATAGTGACAGTCACCAAACTTTGAGACTTCACTTGAGAATTGTGATGCACTTAACAAATATTTCTGTTAATTGATGCAGACATTTTAAAGTATAAATTTTTTATTACCTTACCGTAGATCATTTTTTGAAGTGGCTTTTAATTCTGTTCCCATTTGGTAGAGCAACTTATGACCTGAAATACTTTGAAATCACAGTCTTCACCGTGTGTATGCATTTTAATATCCAGAGACTAATTGTGAGGTCATAAGGGGTAGTCAAGCAGAAGTTGAAAGCGCTGAGTGGAAAGTACTTTGATTTATTGGACTTAAAGAATTTACATACTTAATATTGGATAAGAGAAAGGAATAAAAAGCATGATTAAGTAAATATGAAACTTCTCAATTCTGGCTTTTGTGGCTTTTAAAGTATAATGACTTGAAACATAACCCTAAACTTGAATCAACCTACAGATGTCATTTCAAATTAAAATAGCTACATATGGTTTCCCTTTTGGCATGATGTGTATATTCAAACTTGTGTTCCATGGAAGTTATTTTGAAAGATAAGTTTTAGATCATGAAAGCATCAGAATATCTGACTGCTAATCATCACGGCAGTAATGTACCTTTTATGTTATTCCACCTTATTAACACCCTTTTGTCTTAGTATTTCTGTACTATTCAGATGAATTGGCAGAAAAAATGAAGTTTGTCTGTGAAGAAATTAGAGAACCACTAGGTTTTGATAGACTTCAAGTGACTCTGTCTGAGTTTGGCTCTAACAACCTGCTGCTTTGTGTTCAACAAGAAAGGCCAAAGTGTTACTCTCTTGCCTGTCATTGTCCTCCAGTAGTGCTACATGCTCTGTGGGAATAGAACGCATGGGTGTTGGGGAGTGGGAAGGGCACAGAGTCAAAATTCAGTTTTGCTAGTTGCTGTCTCCGTGCCCTGGGCAGAGGGCTGGCTCTGTCAGCCGTGCCTCCTGGAGTCTGAGATTTCTCAGAGCCCTTCCTTGCACTTCATTGGCATCTACATTTATTGCTGATTTACCCTGACCAGACTGTGTGTTCCTAAAGCACAGGGGACGTTGTCTTATTTTTAAATCCTTATTGCCTAGGCATTGTGCATGTGTGCAATAAATGTTGGTTGTTGTGCAGTGCAGGGCTGCTAATCCTATGTATTTCATAAGGCTGTGTAAGATTAGATTAAACAATGCACGTGTGAAGACGTTAAATACTCCACAAATATAAGATGATATTTTTATTTTTATGACGTTACTTTCCTCAAGGAATTTGCATTAAGGAAGCAATACCCACAGATATTGTTTCTGTTAATAATGAAGTTTTTTTTTAAGAAGTAAAAACAAGTGAAAGAGATTAACAAAGAAAGGGACATTAGTACCACACCTTTTGTTAGCTTGCCATTTCTCTTTTCTTACCCTCTTCCCAAGTCTTAACCAATTTCTGATGGAGAGAAAAATCTGGTGAAAATTCCTGTTCAAAGCATTTCTTCTTCTGCTAAAAATGTGGCCTTCTTATTGTGGGGTTGCAGAACCTATTAGAGCAAAGATATTTCTAATTTAAAGACTTATTAGCAAAATATATAGAACATGATTAATATTTGGTAGGGTCAAACTGCAGTTTTGCAGGTTGATTGGAACAGACTTTAAGCAAAGTTTTTTTTTATTAAAAAAACTCTACTGTTGTTTTCTCTAACTTGTCTCCAGTAATAAACTGGTATCTATTTATAGTGAGAAAAAGAGTGTAATAGGTAACTCAGAATAATAGATCGTCTTAAAGTCACTTTTGTTTATTTTCTTGTGTACATTGTAAGCTTATTTTGAGTAGTAATTGTGGCATATTTACATTCCTAACATGCTTATTTCACTTAGGTTAGATTTATTTTTATTTGTTAACAATGCATAGTTATAGTCCTAGGATTAGGCTGACCTTATTTAAAAATTACGATGGATAATTGAAAGTTGACTATTTAAAATAATGGGTAATTCAGAGTGCTAGTTCTTAGCTGGGATAGGTACCCTATTCTTCTGTATTATTAGGGCATAGTTAAATCAAGGTCTGTTTTTTAAATCTTTTCATTTCATTTCACTGTTGGAATTCCTCATTGAATCAAACAGCATGCTTGATAGAAATGAATTTTAATTTAAAGTTGAGTTTATTTAGATATAATAATACCTATAATCACAATACGTTAATTAAATGGTTAAATAAAACTGAATGAAAAATTGGAAGCTTTCTGAATTTAAACCTGTTGAATGCTAGTTCTATTATATAATTGAGACCTGATTGTTGCAGAGTTAGAATTTTACCCAATGTGGAGAAATTACTTATTGGAAAAGCACAGTGTAGCCTGACTTCAAGATAAACAGATTAAGGAGAGAAGGAGGGATTGAATAAAGCAGATTAGATGGTGTGAGCCTGTGCAGTATTTGAAAACCAGGAGGCAGATTTTGGTATTCTTTGGGCATCAGCAGCCTTGCCCGGATGACCAGTGATCCTTGAAAGTGTTTGAATTCTGAGAGTGGTAACAACTTGTCAGTCTCGTCATTTGACTTCCTGTAACTGTAACTATTCTGAGAAGTCAGTAGATTTTTTTGAACTGCTGTTGTTAATATCTATCTTAATTTAAGACAGATTATTTAAGTTCATTATTTGTTGATAAATTGTGAATCTTAATTTAATCTTAAATTAAAACATTATTTGTTAATAATTTTGTTAATATCTGTCTTTATTTGCTAATCATAGCCTTTGGCAACTCCAAAAAACAGGATGGAGTAATGTGGTTCACTTGTCTTCTATTCTAAGGGGAAATGTGCTGAGTTGACTTCAGGTTATGGCAAATACAAAATTGCGTGTGTCAAAGACCAAGGCTTTAAAATGCCTTTATACAATGATGTTTAATTTTAATGATATGCAAAAGTAATTTTTCTTTTACTGTATACTAGATTTTTAAGTGAACCTGGTTATAAGGTAAGAACTTAAATTTCTCAATTTCATAGCCACCCCCATCTCACTTTAATAATTTGAAATGAAGTTTTAGAATAATCTTTGTAAAAAGAAAACTTGTTTTTTTTCTTTCAGATAAACTAAAGATTATTCATCAAGCATATAAATCAAAGGTACGTTTCATATGTACAGTATCTGGTACATAGCAAATAATCAATACTGGTTGACTTAGTGAATAAATGAATGAAAATATGTACTTCTAAAATATTTTCCATTATAATAGCATTTTTTATTTTGTAGGTACCCTTTCTATAGCCTTCCTTTCCCGTTAAAGAAAAAGTTCTGTCATATCTCTGTTAGTACTAGATTCTTTAAAAAGTGTTAATTTTTAAAAAAAGCATACATGTTATATATCAAACAAATATTTAACATAAAATAAGCATAAAACTTGGTGTAAAGTACATTCAGGTTACATGTAAAGGAAGCCACTTATTATCTGGCAATCCAGTCTCTTTGATTTTCTTAATTCTGTACCAGAAGAAAAGAGCCAAAAGCAGATAAAAAAAATCTTCTTATTCTGGCTTGACTCCTTCTGTGTGTAAGAGAAGGCCCAGGACTGTGGCTCTTGGGAACAAACCTCCTAGTTCCACAGAGGGCACGGCCTGCAGTCTGAATGTTGTCTTGTCCCAAAGAGAACTGCTTATTTATGTGTTTATCGTGTGTTTACATTTCTGTCTTCTTACTTTCTTAGAGTAATGTTTTTATGAAGCCACAATCAAAGGTTAGCTTCTCAGACAGACTAGAGTGGTCTTTTATCTTGAAGCTCAATGACCTTATATAGACTCCTCATTAAAGCAGTAATCTTACTTTATTATACAAACTACTCAAGGACAAGGGACCATATCTTAGTCTTCATAGCTCCAATACCTAGCACAATGCCTCATTCATAGGAGTGTTTCATAACAGTTTTTGAATGAAGTATTTATTTATGAATTCACTTAATTTCATTCTCTTCTCTAGTCATAGATACCCTCCATAAACTCAGTCAGCTTTCAAATAAATGTATACCAGAGATTACCAAGAAAATGGCATGAGGGTATGTCTGTTGACTATGAATTAGTAACTTAAAAAAAAATTTTTTTTTCCTGTAGCTTAAAACAACACACATTTATTCACTTATCGTTCTGGAGGCCAGAATTCCCAAATCAGTGTCACTGGGCTAAAATCAAGTTGTTGGCAGGCCTGGTTTTTTCCAATAACTTTATTTAATTATTTATTTATGTTGATGTCATAATAGTTTATAACATTGTGAGATTCCAATTGTACGTTATTATTTGTCAGTCACCATATAAATGTGCCCCTTCACCCCTTGTGCCCACCCCCCAACTCCCTTCCCCCTGGTAACCACCAAACTTTTCTCTCTGTCCATGTGTTAGTTTATATTCCACATATGAGAGAGGTCATACGGTATTTGTCTTTGTCTGGCTTATTTCACTTAACATAATACCCAGTTCCATCCATGTTGTTGCAAATGAGACGATTTTGTCTTTTTTTATGGCTGGTTGATGTTCCATTGTATATATATACCACATCTTCTTTATCCAATCATCTGTTGATGGACACTTGGGTTGCTTCCACGTCTTGGCTATAGTGAATAATGTTGCAATGAACATAGGGGTACGTAAGCCTCTTTGGATTGTTGATTTCAAGTTCTTTGGATAAATACCCAGAAGTGAGATAGCTGGATCATAAGGTATTTCTATTTTTAATTTTTTAAGTATCTCCGTACTGTTTTCCATAGAGGCTGCACCAGTTTGCATTCCCACCAGCAGTGAATGAGGGTTCCCTTTTCTCCACATCCTCTCCAACATTTGTTATTTTTTGTCTTGGTGATTATAGCCATTCTCATGGGTGTAAGGTGATATCTTAGTGTAGTTTTGATTTGCATTTCCCTGATGATTAGTGATGTTGAACGTCTTTTCATTTGCTTATTGGCCATCTGTATCTCTTTCTTGGAAAAATGTCTGTTCATATCCTCTGCCCATTTTCTGATAGAGTTATTTATTTTTTTGTTGTTCAGATGTGTGAGTTCTTTATGTATTATGGAGATTAACCCCTTGTCGGATATATGATTTGCAAATATTTTCTCCCAGCTGGTGGGTTGTATTTCCATTTTGATCCTGGTTTTGTTTGCCTTGCAGAAGCTCTTTAGTCTGATGAAGTCCCACTTGTTTATTTTTTCTTTTGTTTCCCTTGTCCCAGTAGACATGGAATTCGAGAAGATCCCTTTATGACCAATGACGAATAGTGTACTGCACATTTTCTTCCAGGAGTTTTATAGTTTCAGGTCTCACCTTCAGGTCTTTGATCCATTTTGAGTTAATTTTTGTGTATGGCGAAAGCAGATGGTCTACTTTCATTCTTTTGCAAGTGGCTGTCCAGTTTTCCCAGCACCATTTGTTGAAGAGACTTTCCTTTCTGCATGGTATGTTCTTTGCTCTTTTGTCAAAGATTAGTTGCCCGCAGGTGTGAGGTTATATTTCTGGGGTTTCAGGTCTGTTCCGTTGATCTGTGTGTCTGTTTTTGTACCAGTACCATGCTGTTTTGATTACTATCGCTTTGTAGTATGTTTTGAAGTCAGGGATTGTGATGCCTCCAGCTTTGTTCTTTTTTCTTAGGATTGCCATAGCTATTCAGGGTCTTTTGTAGCCCCATATGAATTTTAGGATTCTTTGTCGTTTCCATGAAGAATGTCATTGGGATTCTGATTGGGATTGCATTGAATCTGTAGATTGCTTTAGGTAGTATGGACATTTTAACTATGTTTATACTTCCAATCCATGTACATGGGCTATCTTTCCATTTCTTTATGTCATCGATTTCTTTCAATAATTTCTTATAGTTTTCATTATATAGGTCTTTCACCTCCTTGGTTAAATTTATTCCTAGATATTTTATTCTTTTTGTTGCGATTGTAAATGGGGTTGTATTCTTGAGTTCTCGTTCTGTTAGTTCGTCATTAGAATATAGAAATGCGACTGATTTTTTTACGTTGATTTCGTACCCTATGACTTTCCTGTAGTTGTTGATTATTTCTAATAGTTTTCTGATGGATTCTTTAGGGTTTTCTATATATAAAATCATGTCGTCTGCAAACAGCGAGAGTTTCACTTCTTCATTGCCTGTTTGGACTCCTTTTATTCCTTTTTCTTGCCAAATTGCTCTGGCCAAAACCTCCGGTACTGTGTTGAATAAGAGTGCTGAGAGTGGGCAGCCTTGTCTTGTTCCTGTTCTCAGAGGAATGGCTTTCAGTTTTTCCCCATTGAGTATGATGTTGGCTGCAGCTTTGTCATATATGGCCTTTATCATGTTGAGGTACTTTCCTGCTATACTCATTTTGTTGAGAGTTTTTGCCATAAATGGATTTTGGATCTTGTCAAATGCTTTCTCTGCGTCTATTGAGATGATCATGTGGTTTTTATTCCTCATTTTGTTAATGTGGTGTATCACATTGATTGATTTGTGGATGTTGAACCATCCCTGTGTCCCTGGTATAAATCCCACTTGATCATGGTGTATGATGTTTCTAATGTATTGCTGTATTCAGTTTGCCAATATTTTGTTGAGTATTTTTGCATCTATGTTCATCAGCAATATTGGCCTGTAATTTTCCTTCTTTATATTGTTCTTGTCTGGCTTTGGTATCAGGGTGATGTTGGCTTCCTAGAATGTGTTAGGAAGTGTTCCATCTTCCTCTATTTTTTGGCATAGTTTGAGAAGGATAGGTATTAAATCTTCTTTGAATGTTTGGTAAAAATCTCTGGAGAAGCCATCGGGTCCTGGGCTTTTATTTTTTGGGAGGTTTTTGATTACTGTTTCAATCTCTTTACTTGTGATTGGTCTATTCAGGTTCTCTATTTGTTCTTGATTCAGTTTTGGGAGGCTGTATGAGTCTAAGAATTTATCCATTTCTTCTAGATTGTCCAATTTGTTAGAATATAGTTTTTCATAGTATTCTTTTATAATCCTTTGTATTTATGTGGCATCCATTGTGATTTCTCCTCTTTCAGTTCTAATTTTATTTTTTTGAGCCTTCTCTCTTTTTTTCTTGGTGAGTCTGGCTAAAGGTTTGTCAATTTTGTTTATCTTCTCAAAGAACCAGCTTTTTGTTTCATTGATCCTTTCTACTGTTTTTTTGGTTTCAGTTTCATTTATTGCTGCTCTAATTTTTATTATTTCCCTCCTTCTGCTGACTTTGGGCTTTGTTTGTTCTTCTTTTTCTAATTCTGTTGGGTGTAGTTTAAGATTGCTTGTTTGGGATTTTTCTTGTTTGTTAAGGTGGGCCTGTATTGCTAGTAGTTTCCCTCTCAGGACTGCTTTTGCTGCATTCCATATGAGTTAGCATGGTGTATTTTCATTTTCATTTGTCTCCAGATATTCTTTGATTTCTCCATTAATTTCTTCAGTGATCCATTGGTTGTTCAGTACCATGTTCAGTAGCATGTAGTCTCCACATCTTTGACACTTTCCCAGCATTTTTCTTGTAATTGATTTCTAGTTTCATAGCATTATGGTCGGAAAAGATGCTTGTTGTGATTTCAGTCTTCTTAAATTTATAGAGGTTTGCCTTGTTTCCCAACATATGGTCTATCCTTGAGAATGTTCCATGCGCGCTTGAGAAGAATGTGTAATCTGTTCTTTTTGGATGAAGTGCTATTGAGTCTATCTGGTCTATTTTTTCATTGAAGTCCACTATTTCCTTATTGAATTTCTGTCTGGATGATCTATCCATTGATGTAAGTGGGTTGTTAAGTTCCCCTACTATTATTGTGTTGTTGTTGATATCTTCTTTTAGGTTTGTTAATAGTTGCTTTATGTACTTTGGTGCTCCTGTTTTGGGTGCATATATATTTATAAGTGTTATGTCTTCTTGGTCGAGTGTCCCTTTTATCATTATATACTGCCCCTCTTTGTCTCTCATTACCTGTTTTATCTTGAAGTCTATTTTGTCTGATATAAGTATGGCAACACCTGCTTTCTTTTGTTTGCCATTAGCTTGGAGTATCATCTTCCATGCCTTCACTCTAAGCCTGTGTTTGTCTGTAGAGCTGAGATGTGTTTCATGGATGCATCAAATGTTGGGTCTTGTTTTTTAATCCATCCAGCCACTCTG